TGCGTAAGCCTATTTCGGTCTTTATTCTATTGGTTATAACTCGAAAGCTTCATAGTCTTTGCGAGCAATGATGCCTTGAATTCCTAGTATTAAATGAAAACATTTAAGCTTCCAACCTTTTATTAATATCCTCAATGACTAAAATACTGAAGAGTAACTCATACTGTGATTCAATGCAAAAATATTTATATCTCTTATTAAATTATACAATGGAATGACTGCCTCATGTTGTTAGCGAAATCAAGTTTAACTGTCCAACTCCCTTAAACTTTTCTTAAAACACTATAAGAATTAAATAAATATATTATATTTCGGATTTCGAGCACGTAGCTGTATTCCCTCTTGTTTTGGGAGAACTGACCAAAAATATGATTATAAAACCATCACGGCCTGGAAACGAAGAACTCGACAGGTCTCGACGATACTCTGTTCAGGAGCAACACCTAAGTGTCATATTTATTTTAGTATACGATATATCAACAATTATGAAATATCTAATCGATGCGGGAACCCAAGTCAGTGTAATTCCCGCTGCAGCGATCGACAGAAAACGCCACGACCCTCTAACGTCTTTGGTCGCCGCCAATATGACAGAAATTCAGACGTTCGAAATCAAAAAAATGTACATAGATCTTGGTTTAAGAAGGTTACTTAAGGGGACTTTCGTCGGGGTGCATCTACCTTTTGCTATCATTTGGATTGATTTTCTCAGGGAAGATAGTCTTTGCGTGGATCCTGCTAATAACAAACTCGTGAATGTATTATCTAATCACTGGATCTATACCAAACCAACTCCTTTGTACCACTCGTGCCAGGTGTTTAAGACGGACCCTAACCCTAACCCTAACCTGGAACGAGCTGCTGAGCAAGTTCCCATTCATGACCAAATTTGCTATTCAAGGAGTTGCAACTAACCACAAAGTAATGCATCGCATTGAGACCACCGATCGCTCAGTTTTTCCTCGACTTCGTCACATGGCCCCGGACAAACTGAAGGAAGCCAAGTTTATGTTCAATGATATAATAAATGATGATATTATTTGTCCCTCAAAGAGTGCATGGGTGTTTCAACTTTATTTAGTCCAAAATAAAGGTAGGAACGAATGGAGGCCTTGTTATCATTTCGGAAGACTCAATTCTGTGACGGCCAGAGATAGATATCCTCTTTAATATGTTACAAAAATGTCCTAAGCCCTAAAAGTCAAAAACATTTTCTTCAAAGTTGACCTAAAAACTGCTTATTTTCAGATCCTTGTGGATACAGATAACATAGAAAAGACGGCCGTCATCACCCCTTTCGGTTTTTTCAAATTCAACAGGAGGAATGTTTGACTTTGAAACGTTGCACATACGTTGAAATGACTAATAAGCGAGGTTATCTATGGTCTAGATACAGTTTTCGTTTATATTGATAAAATACTGATTGCTAGTGACGATAGTGAACAGCAAAAACAGCACTTTGTTTCATTGTTTAAAAGACTATTGCATCATCATCGGGTGATTTCCTCTGAACAATGTGTTTTTGGCGTTGATTCTTTGACTTTCCTCCGATTTCGTATTGATACTCATGGTATGCTAACAAGTCAAGAGAGGGTTTTGAGTATCAACAATTTTTGGCTTTTACGCACCCCCAAAGCTTTAAGAAATTTTCTCTGTAGTGAATTTTTATCATTGCTTCATTCCCAGTTTTGAACGCATGCTGAATTATTTGGAAGAATATCTAAAAACCCCGCAAAAGGACATCTCTCTGTCTGAAGATGTGCAGCGTCCTCGCCGAAGTGACAATATTGCCACATTCATATTCAGATGCTGACCTTCACCTCGTGACCAACGCCTTCGACCGGGCTGTGGGTGATATGTTCTATCAGGTTTTTATGGAGCTTCTCAGTCTCGCTTTATACTCTCGAAAATTCACTTCAGAAGAGCAGAGATACATAACTTTTAGCCGAGTACTCTTGGCGGTTTATTCATCAGTGAAATACTACAAACATATGCTAATTGGAAGACAATTAAACATATAACTGATCTCAAACCCTTTTGCGGACCCTTTAAGAGCTCTTCAGACAAGTATTGCACGCGCAAATTCCGCTAAATGGACTACATCGCACAATTTAACAGCGATGTTGGCTATGTCAAAGGAGCACGCAACATCTTTGCATACAGCCTCTCCTGCATTGGCATGGTACTGTTGTGCCTACAATATAATTGATTATCAAGCCATGCAGAAGCACATGAACGGGAGCGGAGTCAAATCACCGGTTGCCAATGACCCAAACACAAGGAGAGATGCTTCCAGGTGCCAAGATCTAGTGTGATTTGTCAACGAAAACACATCGTCGTTTCGTTTATTCCGCCATGCGGAAATTGGCATTTCAAGCCGTTCATGATTTGACATATCCAGGCTTAAATGCGCCAAGGAAACTAATCACAAGCTGTGTTATCTTGCCAGGAATGCAAACGGACCTCGATAAGTGGAGTAAAGCCTGCCCATTTTACCAAAACAACAAGGTGCATTGGCACACCAAAGCTCCTATCGTGAGATTCAACCCAATCCACATGTAAATTCTTGGTCTCCTTTCGCATTTTAAGGAAAACCACTAGCCATTTACCACTATGGACTGTTTCAAACAATGGCCAGAAGCTTTTCCAATCCCAGACATACAGGAGTGACAGTTTCAAAAATCTTTTTCGCTCATTAGGTTTAAAGGTTTTGCAGACCGACAATCAGCACAACCGACAACGGCAAGTAGTTCGAATCCTATCTTTTCACCCAACTATCGAAATTATTAGGAACGAAAATGATTTATACGTGAGGCTAAGGGTTTAGTAGAACTCTTTCATCTGCATTTAAAAGCGTGTCTGAGATTTCAGATGAGCCAGGCCAAATGGTCAGACAATTTGTCCTTAGTTGGAGTATCTTTTTTTACGTTTGAAGAGGCGAGTGGAAGGGATTCTTAAGTTGGTCCTACAGGAGGCTGTGGGTGGGTTGCCTCAGAGCTGTGGTTGTAGATTTGTGCGAATAGGCCCTTGGCGCACCGCCCTTACTGAGCTATTGTTCATTATGTGACAGACATCGTCAGAGCAGGACACTATGCTTAACGATAATTCACCAAATGCACGAAGTCAAGAAAGGTGGCCGGCAATTTGGTTTACTTATGAATCTCAAGTTTTGGTCGGATGAAGTATACTTTGCCTATATATATGCTCATAAGTTACTTAAATGGCTGTGGGTGATATGTGAAATGGGTGCAATTAAATCCAATCAGCTGCATCCTCCTATAAATCACTTATGTCTTTCATTATGCATTGTTACCGCATATGATTGTGTCACATTGCATATTTGCTGTGTGAATGCATTGCTTTTGAAGTGAGTATAATGTGAGATTCAGTAGGAACATTGAATCATTCTGAGATAGCAATAATTAATAATTAATAATTACATAAGTAGATATTTTCTATCGATTTGAGACATATTCAAGTCAAATATATAAAAATGATATTACAATTAGTGAAACAATTGATGAACCAGGAGCAAAATGACATATTGTAATAAAATGCATAAAAAATATTTCATTTAATAAAGTATTTAAAATTAACCGTAAAATAAGAAAAAAAAGATATATTGCGATATTCTAAGTAGAGTTGCTTAACATCTATTAGGTATTTAGATTTCAGGCAT